TATATATATGGGAAGGAGGGGAGGGGTGGCTGGGGAGGATAGGGATCTAACTGAAGTTATTGCATATTTTCTGTATCCCGGGAGTGTTATACATTTTTTAATTTTATTCTCACAATGGCTGTATGATGTAAGTTTTATTATTTCCAAGAAAATTTATTGTCTGTGAGAAAATTCCAAAAGAGTATTTTGTTCCTTTGAAATTTATATATAAATACATTGTATCTCTTGATTTAAACATCTTAAGTGTAATTGAGTCAGAATCTGGGATTTTACCCTATTTATAAGCTAATAAATTAGATTATTACTGTTTCATGGTTGCTAGTAGAAGACATGAGAGTCCTGGCTCAGAGACAAAGGACTTTATTACTCAGAACATAGCAAGCAACATGAGCTTCACGTGTATATTGGTTTCCCCTGTCCCCTGAGGCCCACAGTGGATGTGGAGGGGCCCAGTGCCATGCATGCAGTGGGTTTGCATCACAGCCAAGGAACATGTGTGCTTTGGGCTCTCCTTCTTTGTTCCACATGGAGACATTACTTCATCCCTCAAGGTTGCTTGCTGCAAACACAGTTCTGAGAAATGACCCAGGTAAAGTCCCACCCAGGAGGAATGTGCAGGAATACCCAGGTGCCATGTGATTGCCCTTGCCAGCTAATAGAGTCTACATTTGGTGTGTGTACAGGGTTGGAGTTAATAGAAGGGGAAGGATCTAGTTCTTTCTACCAGGATTCCAAATGGTATCCTCCACCTGGGGTGGGCTTTGAAGTAAGGAAAGGTTTTTGCCTCGCCAATCCCTCTTGGAACCCTTTTACAGTGAAAGGGGGCCAGAGAAAGCCTGTGCTCCGATCACTGGGGCTGTGGGAAGATGTGAAGGTAGAGATCTATCACTGAGTAAGGCCAGACTATTCTGATCCCTGGCACTGTGCTGAGAGCTTTTTGTATTGTATTGGTGTTCTGTTGGTGCATAACAAATGACCACAAACTGAGCAGCTTAAAACAATACCCATTTATCATTTCACAGTTCTCTAGGTCAGAAGTCCAGGCAGGCTTAGTTGGGTTCTCTGCTTCAGGAATCACAAGGCTGATGTCCAGGTGTCACCTGGGCTGGCCTGTCATCTGAAGGCTCTGGGAAAGAATGTGTTTCCAGCTCATTCAGGTTGTTGGCAGAATTCAGGGTGTAGGACTGCAGTCCTCATTTCCTTGCTGGCATCAGCTGTGGACCATTCTCACTCAGCTTCTAGATGCCAGCTGCATTCCTGTTCACTTGGTTCTCACCATCTTCAAGCCAGCAGTGGTACATTGGCTCTTTCTTGTGTTCACATCTGACTTCCTTTTGTCATACCAGCTGGAGGAAACATTGCTTTTAAAGGACTCATCACGGTAGTCCCACCTGATAAGGTCACAACTGATTATAGCAGTTCTGTCTGACATACATACTGCATTCTTATTTAGTGCTGCTGCTGTTTGAACCCAGATCTGCCTGTGTAGAACTGAGAGGCCACATTGTTTTGGACATGTCAAATACTATCCAACAGGGGCCTTCTGTCTTGTGGTACGAGCTCTGGAAATGGTACTGTTGGTGAGGTTAGAGTGGCGTGAAGAGGCCAAGCAGATTATTGCAAGCAGTATAGGGAATGTATGTTCCTGTCTGCTGCAAACACGGTAGTTTCTGGTAGGGTTCCAGCCCTCTGTCTGGCACAGCTTCTTTTTTTTATTTTTAAAAAGATGACCGGTAAGGGGATCTTAACCCTTGACTTGGTGTTGTC